CTCGCTTTCTGTCTCTATGTCTCTCTCTGTCTGGCGAGCGCACACACTCTATAGCGAAAACCTCTCCAAAAAAAAAAAATAAGACCATATTGGGAGTGCATGTCTTCTCCCTCTCTCCACCTGTCTGTTTCCTTTTCTCATGAAATAAATCAAGAATCAAGAAGTTCTGAGCTTATAAAAAAATATTTTTAAAAAAAAATAAAGGAAAAAAATTAAGACGTGGTGGAAGTTGGGGGAAAGGTTCAGAGATCCACTTTGGGCAGCTCGGCCCACAGTACCAGGATTAGCTTAGTCATGCCTTTGGTGCTGGTTGACGTTGCATGGTTTTAAAGTGTTCTTGCAAACTCCCTGGCTCCTCTGGTTAAGAATCTGTCCTAAAGAGGAAGTCCACATGGGCTGTCGCAGAATAGTAACAGGAAAGTGCAAAATGAAACTGCTTGCTTCTCCCACTCCCAGCCAAGTGTGTAGTGGAATGCACCAATCTCTGCCCTTGTCTCTGGGACACGCGTTAATTATTAACTAAAGTCAGTCCTCAGGCTGAGCCAAGTCCAGTATTCCGAGATCAAAGCACACTCCAAAAGGTTCTCAAACTGCAGTGGTTCCGCACACCCATAAATTCCTCCTCACCTCAAGAAGGGAACACTCTAGGGGAAGCACATCTAAACTTTGGAACCACAGGGTTGTAAAACAAAGAAACTGCCTTTTCTTCAGAGAAGGGAAGTGGCTGCCTCAAGCTCATGTAACCATGAAGTAGAACAGCCAAGATCTTCAGAGGCTGAACTCTGCAGTCAGACCCCTGGGTTCAAATCTCAGCTCCACTCCTTTCTAGTTGTGGGACCTTCAACGAAGAACCAGACTTCATGGGTCTTGGTTTCCTTATCATTAGAAGGAAAAAGAGTAGCACCTATCTGTAGGTGATTTGGGGGAGTCAATGAGCTCCTCCCTGGAAAGCTCAAGAACAGTGCGGGGCAGTGCCTGGCAAGGGACAAGTACTTAGCTATGACAGTTCTCACTAAGATTAACAGGGTCTCATGCATCCAGGTGAGGCAAAAAGAAAATCCTAGGACAGTGGTGTGTCTCGGACTCTGAGGTTAAATCTCTAGAAATAAATAAATAAGGAACAAGATCTGATAAACTATCTATCACAAGGATATATTATCAAGAACCTTCATAAACAGCTTAGCTCAGCAGCAGAATCTGGATTCTTTTCCTGAGGTCATAATTTCTGGGCAGGGATCCAGGGTCCCAGGCACACCGTTGCCTAGATATAGAAGCAGCACCTTGAGCAGTTCTGGAGAAGACATTTCCTCAATCGCACATTCTGCTTGTCACTGCTGGCCCGCAGGGCTCCTTGCGTCCCCACAGAGTGACCTCATTCTGAAGGGTGGAGCAGGAGCAGCTATCTGCACACCCTAGAATCTGCTCCACTAGGCTTTCAGAGCAGAAACCAGTCAGCCCTCACCATCCTCTGTAGAAAAACCTGGTATAATTCATGCTGTCAGTGGCTTGCCCTGAGCTGGAATAAAAAATGAATTCTCCACTAATCTGTAAACTTCTCAAATCACCTAGAACTGCTCGGTGTATATAGCAAATGTATCTATTCCTACAATGCTGATGCAAGTTGAGAACACGTATTAGAAACACCTACCATTACCCTTTCCATGCTCATTTTGGCAGGGCACCTCCTATTGAGAAAACAGAACATGCATGAAGTGTGGGAAATCCACAGTTAGAATGAGGGCTCAAAGTCTAGATTCAAGGCAGAGAATGGCAAACACCTAACCCCCAGGCATAAAAAAACCCACTGGCAGGAGATAGAAAGACAATCATCTCCTTCCTTCATAAAGGGGAAGGTCCGAAAAGACACACTGACAAAAATATATGATACATGCGCAAGGGTAGTCGTTCATTATAGAGCTATTTGGAATAACTCACAGTTGGAAATAAGCCAATTGTCCTCCAGTAGGAATGGCTGAAAAAGAACTATGATTCATCCACACCATGGAGTAGAACGCCAAAGACACTCTACGCACGTCTGGAGGACACAAGAACACGAACGAAGCAAGGCAAACGATACCATTTTAGAATGCTCCCTCTTCTGTAATAGAGGAGAGAGTTTGCTTTTTTTTCTCTCCAAAAGTAATAATACAAACAAATAAAAAAAACTAATAAAAATGGTAGTCATTGGGGGAGGAAAAAAGGAATCGAAATGCCATGCAGACTTCTCTGAGTGTACTCTGGAGTTTTTACTTTGGAACTACGTTAATGTTTTATATAATTAAATATAAAATGATGGGGCCAGACAGTGACACAGCAGTAATGCAACACTCTACAAGGCCGACTCACATAGGAAGGTTTGGGGTTCACGTCTGGAGACCTCCCTGAACACATCAAGCACATGTGTGCCCATGACCCGGGGCTGGCTGAGGCTGGGGGTGAATGTTGGCGTGGAGACCCTGTTGGGAGTGCCTCTCTCTCTCTCTCTCTCTTTCTTTCTTTCTCGCTCACAGAAGAAAGGAAACCACTTTAAAAAATAAAAATAAAAAGAAGAAGAAGAAATACAAAACTAAAACAAAATCTAAGGGCTCATCTTTTCTGCTTTTTTCCCACCCATTCACTGCCGCCTCTCAGCCCTCAGCCAGTAGCAGAAAGCCCCAAAGGAGACTTAATAAGGTGCTGGGGAAGGAATGACCCTGAGGTGGACAGTCATAGGAGGCCCTGTGTGAGGCACCAGCAAGACACCCTAAGTCATGGGGGGATGCTCCCCTGCTGAAGCCCCCAGGCTATCTTAAAGTCAGACCAAGCTGCACTGCCTCACTCCCGAGGCTCACAATACTGGGATTCCCAGGTCTCACAACACTAGAATTTCCAGGTTTGGCTTCATTTTCCAAAAGACTTCCTGCCTTTCTTTCCTTAAGTCCCTCTCCATGGCATCCCAGGGTCTGGCCAGGCTGCTTTCTGGTTTAGTCTGGCTGCTGAATGGACCCTCTGGGATTAAAGGCATTACAGACGCAGCAGCAGGCTCTGCCCAGCATCCCCAGGCCCCAGCACCCCTTGCTCTATCTCTCCTCTGGGCCGACAAAATCAGCCAGAGCACACACCGGGAAAGAGCAGTCGGGTTTATCTGCCTCTCCCTGAGAATGCTGCATTCGCCATTGACAGCCCGCAAGTCTGGGTGTCAGACAGGAATGAAGGAATGGATGAGTGACCGCCACCTGGTCATACTCAATGCCACACTCAAAGACAGTGATTTTTTAAAAAAACAGGTTAAAGCATGTTGCTCAAAATACAAAGACTTTCTTATTAATTGCAACTGTTGGCAGAGTTGTTTAAATAAGAAGAACCCTCAGGTGCATAAGAAACATGAGATAATTTACCAAGTCTTACTTTGTCTGTCCCTTGATAGAGAAGGGTAGGGTTGCCCAGATAACCAATTTCCTTTTTATTTATTTATTTAGTTAGTTAGTTAGTTAGTTAGTTTAGAGAGTGATTTTTGCTATAGCGTATGTGGTGCTCACTAGAGAGACAGAGAGACAGAAAGCAAGAAATCACCCCCCGGGGGCAGGGATGACCACACCACAATCCCTTCCCTCCATTCTCCTCTTGGGATTTTTGGGCATGCACACACATGCGCCCTGAGTGAATTTTAAGTCACCTGGTCTGGGACTTGAACCACAATCGACTACCTGGCAGTCCAGCTACATAACTATTCGACCATCTGCTGGTCCCTTCTTTTTTCTTTTTTTTTTTTTAAATTTCTTAATTTTGCTAGAGAGCACATGTGTTTGTCAAACAGAGACAGAGAGGAAGAGAAAAGAGCACCCCATCATAGCAAATGATCACACCACAACCCCTTCTCCTCTATTTCCTCCTCCTTTCAGGATTTTGGACATGCATGCACACACACACAGCATGTTTCTCAAGACGTCCAGTCCAGGACTTGAGCCATGCTGTCAGCCATTTGGGATCCAGCTGCCTTATCCACCAGGCCGTAGAGCCGGCCCACCCAGATAACTTCCAACCCTAAGAGTTTATGAGATGATATGTAATGTGAGATGCTGTGCCCAACCCCCTGCATTTCCAGAAATACCATTAGTGGCCCCCATCTTCATCAGGCCCCAAATCATCCCACACTAGCAGACCAGTAGCACTTCAGAGACAAAGGCTAAGTTGGTCTTATTTAAAAACATAGAATTTCGGGGCCAACAGGAAGCATAATGAAGGTGCTGGACTCCCATATGGTCGACTGTGGTTCGAGTCCTGGACCCAGTGGCTTTGAACTCACACCAAGCGCCTGTTTGTGTGTGCCCTAAGAGAGGAGAATGAAAGATAAAGAATTGCAGCATGACCATCCCTCCTGGGAGGTTATTTCTCACTTTCTGTCTCTCTGTCTCTCTCAGTCTCTCCAGTAAGTGCATGAGTGCACACACCCTATAGCAAAAATCTCTCTAGGATTCATGCTAGGAAGAAGCATGAATCCCAGGGAAAACTGTCACATTGTCACATGCCACCTAAGATCTTGGACACTCTGAGAAGAACAGGTTGCAAACTCTCTGCATGTTTCCTCCTTCCATGACTGAACACAATAGGAACCTGGAAGCTGTTTTCATATGTCCAAGGTAGACTGTTACATACTTGCTAAGGCTCCTTGTTCATACATTAGTAAGAATTTCAAAGCAGTAAACAAAGCATGGGACCCTACAGGACTGCATCGACAGTATGCCCCGGAAGCCAGCCCAGATTGCATCCTAAGACAAGAACAGGGGAACCATTTCAAAGCAAATGGGGGTATGTGAGAGTCCGATGAAACAGTTTGTGAGAGTCAAATGTTAAATTCTGGAAACTCTGCCATCTGGTTAATGTCATGTTTGTTACTTGCGATTGCCATGGTAGGATATTTACAGCAAACGCTACAAATCAAGGTCTTTGTCTCTCATTTTCTTTCTTTTTAGGGGTGGGGATAGAGGGTATAGCTGATTATTAAGCACTGATGGACATACCACTGAACTTACTGGTAAGAATTCAGAGAGTTGTTTAATGCTTGAAAAAGAAACTATTTCTTCTTCTTCTGGATACGATGATTCAGTTTCCTTGTTTACTACTGGTGTCGCTTCCTCAGCTGCTGAAAATAAAACAGGTAGAAAACAAAAAATCACCTCTGACCCGTACTAATCCAAGATAACCATTCACCAAAAGCATCCACCAAAGGAAATCATTTTATAGACACCCAGGGAAAGTGTGTATTTTATAATTATTTTTGTTACTGTTATATTTTTGTTCTTTATATTACTATATTTTCTTTCTTGTTGTTTTTGCTTTCGTTATTTTTTAATAATTTTATTAGTTCCCTAGCTACTATTAATATGTACTTTACTAGGGACCAGCAGTTAGCGTAATGGCTATGTTGCTGGACTCCCATGTAGTCAACCGCGGTTCAAGTCCCGGACCCAGTGGCTTAAAGCCGGGCACGTGTGCGTGCGTGTCCAAGATTCCGAGAGGAGAATGGAGGAGAAGGGATTGCGGTGTGGCCATCCCCCCTAGGGGGTGATTTCTCGCTTTCTGTCTCTCTGTCTCTTTAGTTCTGGTGAGCGCAGGGACCCTATAGCAAAAACCTCCCCCCAAAAATAATTAATTACTTAAATAAATAAATAAAAAGAATGAACTATGTCTGTGTTATAGTCAGAAAATGTCAGCCACACTGGTTGGAAGAAAAAGCATGTTACAGAATGCAATCAGCATGGTCTTAGTTAAGCTTTGTTTGTTCATGTGCTTTTTGTCAGAGGGCACTCTCCAAAGAGAGAGAGAGAGAGGCAACGTGAGACAGTACTGTCCATGAGAAATGGCCTCACCACAGTCCCTTCTTCATTTCACCCTCCCTTCAGGATTCTGGGCACATACGCACCCCGTGTGTTTCAAGCCATGCAGTTGGCCATGTGGGATCTAGCCACCTTAGCCACCACACCACAGGATGGTCCAATATAAATATCTATACACACATACACACACACATAGAAAAAAATCTACAATAATACATGCCAAAGAGTGGTTATTTCTTGGGAATGGGCTGGCAATGGAAGAGGGAGAGAGAGGCTTTTACCTTCTACACGCTATAGTCTTTTAATTATTTGAAACTTACTTTATTGTAAATCATAGGTATTATTCTTTTTCTTAAAGGCTTCTTTTTTAAATTTTATTTTTCATTATCATTTTTAAAATTTACCGGAAATGGGGGTGAGGAATAAGAAAACAAGCTGCCAGGTTTGGGACATAAACTGTGGTCGACAATGTGGGTGTCGACCGCCCAACCACCATAACACCTGCTGGTCCTCTACACATTATTCTTTTTATTTATTTATTTTTTTTGAGAGGTTTTTCTATAGGGCACATGCGCTCACCAGAAAGACAGAGAGAGACAGAGAGACAGAAAGCAAGAAATCACCCCCCCAGGGGGGGTGGTCACACCACAATCCTTTCTCCTCCACTCTCCTCTCGGGATCTTGGGCACGCATGCACATGTGCCCGGTATGAGTTTAAGCCACCGGGTCTGGGACTCGAACCATGGTCAACTACATGGGAGTCTAGCGACATAGCCATTACACCAACTGCTGGTCTCTCTACACATTATTCTTAATGATAAATTTTTAATGCTATTGGGTTGTTGGAAAAGTCATGATGTATTTTTCTGTTTTCCTATATAAAAATGCATCATGACTTTTCCAATGACCTAATAAAACAAATAGAAAGACTCAGGAAAACTCAAAAAGTTAGCCAGGTGGTCCTTAAATAAGGCTAGTTTCCTAATCAGACATAAGGGAGACTTCAAAATTTCATGGAAAATGGGTTTAAAACATTAATATATGATCAATACTGGGGTATTGGAAAAGTCATGACGCATTTTTGCATAGAAAAAAATATGTCAGGGACCAGCAGATGGTGTAATGGTTATGTCACTGGACTCCCACCTAGCTGACCATGGTTTGAGTCCCAGACCTGGAGGCTTGAAACTCATGCCAGGCATGTGGCATGTGTGCACCAAATCCCAGGAGAATGGAGAAGGGATTGCAGCACGGCCATCCTCCTGGGGGCTGATTTCTCGCTTTCTGCCTCTCTGTCTCTCTCTGTCTCTCCAGTGAGTGACATGCCCCATAGCAAAAATCTCTCCAAAAAAAAGTTATGACTTTTCCAACAACCTGATATATGTATACAGTAATATATAGAGATATATATAAACTTGATTCTCCAACATAAAATCCATCAGTTCAAGACAGTTTTCTAAATGATGATTCCAGACATTTAGTTACAAAGAACTGAAGGTTCTGGGACGTTAACCATGTGACTGAAATCTTTTTTACATTGTTAACTAAATAAAAATAGGTACCCTCTGAAGACTTTTTAAGATTAAGAAATAAGGGGGAGGGCAGGAGGGGATCAGGGGAAAATTTTTGACAGAAACAAAAATGAGAAGTTATCTGTTGATGATAATGAACATGGTAATATCTGTGACTTTACTAATATGCACCATATTCACTCTGGGAAAATCCGTTTTGTATGTTGTAAAGATGTACAATGATTAAATATATTTAAAAAGAAAAGAAAAGAAAAAGGCATTGCCAACACAATATATATCACCAAAATGAAAAAATAAACCAGTAGAATGATTATCAAAGGTGCACAAAATAATGTAATGTTCTTTGTTGACAATGATGAATATGTTTATATCCTTGATTTGATTATCACACATTGCATGCTTGCTTTAAAAATTATCCTAGGGGCCAGTGACATGGTGGTTGAGGCACTGGACTCCCACATGGCCAACCACAGTTCAAGTCCTGGACCTGGCAACTTGCTTTCTCACTTTCCCTCTCTCTTTCTCTCCGTGTCTTTCTCTGGTCAAATTTTTAAAATAATAATAAATAAATAAACTTTTAATTATACTCTACTCCATAAATATGTACAATGATTAAATATAAATCAGAAACTATAATAAAAAGTAATTTTAAAAAGATAAAGAAATCAAAAGAAGTCAGAGGTGCCGAATCAGGACTCTAAGATCAATACCTAATGATTTCCCAACCAAAATTCTCACAAAATTGCCCCCCCCCCCCCCCCCCCTCCTCTCTTTGGGGTGTATGTGCTCACCAGAGAGAGACAGAAAGTGAGAAATCACCCTCCTAGGGGGATGGCCACATTGCAATCCCTACTCCTCCACTCTCCTCACAGGATCTTGGGCACACACGCACACCCACACATGGTCTGAGTTTTAAGTTGCTGGGCCTGGGACTCAATTGGGGTCAACTACATGGGAGTTCACAACCTAACCATTACGCCAACTGCTGGTCCCAACAAAATCACCCTTTTATAATGAGAGGAATGAGCAGGAGCATTGTTACGGGAGAGAGCGATTCTCCAAAGAACTTTCCCTGGGTATTTTTCTGCTAAAGCTTCAGCTAACTTTCTCAAAACACTCGTAATTCAGTAGATGTTCTTGCCCTTTTACCCTCCAGAAAGACAGCACTCAAAATGTCTTGGGCATCGGAAAAACTCGTTGCCACAACCTTCCCTTCTGACTTGTCTACTTTCACTTTGATTGGACCACTTCCACCTCTTGGAAGCCATCGCTTTGATTGTGCTTAGTCTTTAGGATCCTACTGGTAAAGCCATGTGATCTCTCCCATTACAGTTCTTCAAGGAAATGCTTCAGGATCTTGATCTGACTTTTAGATTTTCCGTTGAAAGTCCTGCTCTTGTCTGCAGCTGATCTGGGCACAATAATTTTAGTGCCTGTCAAGTGTAAGGTTTGCTCAACTTTAATTTCTCAGTGACAACTGTGTGAGCTGAACCAGAGGAGATGTCTATGGTGTTGGAATTATTTCTGCTGTTAACTGTCCTCTTCAATTAGGGCATAAGCAAAATTAATATTTTTCCCACATTTGAATGTGGATGGTTGGCCACTGTGGGCATCATCTTCTGATTTATTTGGGCACTGTTCCCATAAGTTTTTTTCCTAGCATCAATGATTTCACCATTTTTCCACTGAAGCTTCATTGTAATTTTGATATTTGTTCTTGCTGCAATTTTAGCAGACTTTATGTTGCTCTTCCTTCCTTCCTTTCTTTCTCTCTTTCTTTTCTGAGAGGTTTTTGCTATAGGGCACGTGCACTTGCCAGAAAGACAGCGACCGAGAGACAGAAAGCAAGAAATCTCCCCCCGGGGGCATGACCACACCACAATCCCTACTCCTCCATTTTCCTCTTGGGATCTTGGGTACGCACGCACACGTGCCCAGTGTGAGTTTAAGCCACCGGGTCTGGGACTCCAACCGCGGTCAACTACATGGGAATCCAGCGACACAGCCATTACACCAACTGCTGGTTCCCATGTTGCTCTTTCAAACTGATATTTTATCTTTCTTATTGCCTCAAATTAGATTCTGTTCAGACATGTTACAACAAATTAGGATGAGTTTATCTTGTCCAAAAAGATAAATTAAATCCACCCAAGTTTTTTCCTAATATACATCTTCCATGAACATTTGAAGAGCCCTCATACATACAGAAAAGCCTAAATTCAGCTTACCCACCATCTTCAGTCCTTTAGTCTTTCATCTATTTTCTTTTCTTTTAGTTTTGCTCTCTTTTGTTTTCTTTTAGTTTTGTTCACTCACCAGAGAGCAACAGAGAGGTGAGAAGAAATAAGAAATCATACCCCAGAAGGGACAACCACACCTCAATCCCTCTCCTTTATTCTCTTCTTGGGATTTTGGACACACACGCACCCAGTGTGATTTTCAAGCCTCTGGGTCCAGGACCCAGACCTCATAGCTAGTCAAGTCGGATCCAGCCACCTTAACCTCCACGTTACCTGCTGGCCCTAGTCTTTTATTTTAAAGGCAGAGTTGGGGCCAAACTCTTAGGATTATAGCAAGTCAATATTAAAGGTACAGGCCCCTAGTACAATGATTAAGCATGATACATAGGAAGCTAGATTCCTCATGACCAATGGAAGTTTGAATCCTGCACCAGGGACTTGAAAAACACATACAGTGCATATGTGTACATGCCCCAAATCCTAATGGGATGGAGAAATGGAAGAAAAAGTATTGTGGCATGACCGTGCTTCATTGGGGAGTGTTCTCTCTCTCTCTCTTGAGCAATGTCTTCTCTGAAAATTTATGAATTTATGTATATATAGTTTATTTATATTGAACATGTTAAATACATATATATATATATAAAATAATAAACCCTTGACTTTGCATTCCTCAGCCATCATGCTTTCTCATTCAAATAGTCAATTAGGTTCTTTTTTTTTTTTTTTTGAAAAAGATTTTTGCTGTAGGGCATATGCACTCACAGAGAGACAGAAAGTAAGAAATCACTCCCCCCCAGGGGAAATGGCCACCCCACAATTCGTTCTTCTCCATTCTCCTCTTGGGATTTTGGACACGTATGCACATGCACCCGGCATGAGTTTCAAGCCACCAAGTCGAGAACTCAAACCTCAGTCAGCCATGTGACAGTCCAGCACCTTAACCACTACGCCACCTGTTGGCCCCAGTTCAGTTTATTTTTTTTTAAATAAAAAAGGAAAGTCAATATTCAGAATATTAATAGAAATAAACTTCCTTTAAAATACATATATTAATAATATATTATATGATTAACACCTCCAAGAGATCAAGCACAGGTAGGCTGTAGAAAAGAAAAATCAAAATTAGAAGTGTTCTTCTGAGGGACCAGCAGTTGGTGTAATGGCTATGTCGCTGGACTCCCATGTAACCTACCGCAGTTCAAGTCCTGGACCCAATGGCTTAAACTCATGCCAGGCGCATGTGCACCCTAGGGGGTGATTTCTCGCTTTCTGTCTGTCTCTCTCTCTTTCAGGCAAGCACATGCGCCCTGTAGCAAAAACCTCTCCAAAAAAAGAAGTGTTCTTCTGATATAAGTTCAAGAATCATTGAGGTAAATATTAACATTAACTGCATTATAAAATAGCATATCTTCTCCAGAGTTCTAATATCTAAAATAACATGACCGTGGCCAATGTTTACTTTGTGTGAGATACTACATTACCAGAAAAAAAGACAATGTAATCAGAAAAAAATGTTCAATATTCAGAGTTTGTGCAAAGATTCCAAATATTCTTTCAATATTAACTTTCTGCTTTTTATTTCTCAGTTGATATCTTAATGGTAATAACTATTTATTATTCATAACTTTTACTTAAGTTAAACAATTATTCATTGCTTTAGTTATTGTTTGAGATTTTTGTCATTATCTTTGGAGAGGCTTTTGCTATAGGACACGTGCACTTGCCAGAAAGGCAGAGAGAGACAGAGAGACAGAAAGTGAGAAATCACCCCCAGGGGAGATGGCCATGCCACAATCCCTTCTCCTCCATTCTCCTCTCGGGATCTTGGGCATGCATGCAGGCAGACATGCCTGGCATGAGTTTAAGCCACTAGATCCGGGACTCAAACTGCAGTCAACTACGTGGGAGTCCAGCGACATAACCATTACACTAACTGCTGGTCCTGAGACTTTTGTCAGTTTAACAACAGTATTTTGTCTTCCACAACTTGTTTGTAGTAACTGGATTCCGGTAATGTCGTAGCCCACACAAAGTAAATGTGGGGCGTGTATTTATATCATTTGGCGTGTTTGAACTCTGGAGAATGCATACCAGTTTCCATTTAGTCAATGTTCATAATTTGCTCACAAGTTTCCTCTTAGCTAGTTTCATTTTTAACCAAAGAAATTTGAACAGTAGACTGACTCACTGAACTAAATTATGGGTGTGACATAAAAGTTTCATGAATATATTATTGTTTAACAGTAAAAAGATCAGAAGTGTTTAGTATATTGACACATGCTGAGATAGTCAGGTTTGATTTCTGTCCTGCGCTTTGTCTCTGCAGAGTAAAACAACATGGGTCAGTCCCATGACCTGGTGATTAAGGGAGCCAGATCCCACATGTCTGACAGTGCAGCTTGAATCTCAGCTCTGGTGCCTTGAAAAACACCCTGGGCACGTGTGCATGCATGTCCAAAATCCCAAGGAGACAGAGAAGTGGAGGAGAAGGGATCATGGCCTCACTAAGCCCTAATGAGGGGTGCTTCTCCCTGTCCTTCTCCCTCTCTTTCAGTCTCTCTGTGATGAGTGCATACACTTTCTGGCAAATTAAAAATACATTTATATATAGCAACAAAACTACCTTTTAAAACAGACTGATAAGGGACCAGCAGTTAGCGTAATGGCCATGTCGCTGGACTCCCACGTAGTGGACCACAGTTCAAGTGCTGGACCCAGTGGCTTAAACTCATGCCGGGCACATGTGCGTGCATGCCCAAGATCCCAAGAGGAAAATGGAGGAGAAGGGATTGTGGCATGGCCATCCCCCCTGGGGGGTGATTTCTTTCTTCCTGTCTCTATGTCTCGCTCTGTCTTTCTGGCGAGCACACGTGCCCTAGAGCAAAAACCTCTCCGAAAAAAGAAAAAAAGAAATAAAAAGACTGTTAAAAAGAAGAAGAAGAAGAAAAAGAAGAAGAAGAAAATAAATTTCTTCTTTGAGAATAATTTCTGAGAACAGGAAAGGATTCATGACTTTCCTCCCTGACAAATATAGTCATAAAAACAACAGGTATTGAATACTTACTCTGTGCCAAACAAACATCTTATGGAATTAATTGTTCAACCCTCACAAAAACCTATAGAGTAAGTACTACTATTAGACCCACTTTACAGATTGGGAAGGTAAAACAGAAAAGCTAAAGAAAGGACCACTGCACCACTACTAAGTGGAGCCCTGCCAATCCGACTTTCTAGACCCCATTCTTTTTTTTTTTAAAGAATCATTTATTTAATTTTATTCCTTCATTTATTTTAATTTCTATACCTTGCTAGACAGAGATAGACAGAAAGAGAAAAAGTGAGAAAACAAGTCACCAGGTCTAGGACTCGAACTGTAGTCCGTCATGTGGGAACGTCCATCGCCTTAACCACTACGCCATCTGCTGGTCCCTAGACCCCATTCTTAATCCTTATGGTATCCTGTCTCCTTTTTATATTTTTTCATTCAAAACAATTTTCTATATTCTTACTCCCATCTAAAAATTAGAAGACATTTGCCTACAACACCTTTCTCTCTAGAATATAAATTCCAGGCAGGCAGGAGCTTTGCTCTATACCCTGCTGTATTCCCAACTTCTAAAACAGTGCCTGATACAAAGTGTGTATTCAATAAGTACACATCGAATGAACAAACTGGGAGATTTCTGGCTTTCCTAAGAGAACGTTCTCAGGACGGTAAGTAAGCATCATACTTGGCCAATTAGTTTTAGAATCTCCATGGTCTGGTGCAAGTATCCAAACATAAGCTACTTACCTTTGTTTCTTCTATAGTTCTCTATCTTTTTCAGAAGGTGAGGTACAACCCTTTTGCAGAGGTTCTCCAATAACATCAGATTATCGTCATCTATTTCAGCTTGTTGTTCTAGATATGCCAGTAAACTCAGAGACGTCTGCAAGAGAATCGAATCGGTCTACGGTATACCACCCCGAACACGCCTGATCATGCTTGCACTCAGAAGCTAAGCGAGGTCAGGCTGGTTAATACTTAGATGCAATCAGTAGAATCACATTTACTTGCCTACTGATTATCCATTTATTCATTAAACATTACCTGCAAGGTCACTAGGCATCAAGTTTTGTACTGAGAATAAGTTACAAAGGATCTTTAAAAACTTCATGGTGGGACCAGCAAATGGCGTAATGGTTACATCACTGGACTTCCATGTAGTTGACCACGGTTCAAGTCTTGGACCTGGTGGCTTAAAACCTCACTCTGGGTTCATATGTCTGCATACCCAAAATCCTAAGAGAATGGAGGAAAAGGGATTGCAGCATGGCCAATGCCCCTGGGGGGTAATTTCTTCCTTTCTGTCTCTCTGTCTCTCTGGTGAGTGCATGTACCCTACAGCAAAAATCTTTCTGAAAAAAAAACTTTCTGGAAAACACATATTACTAAAAAACAAGACAACAGCAACAACAAAAACCTATATATGGGTTTCAAAATATTTTAAACATTTTATCCGCTTAAAGTATTATTTACTTAATTTTATTTATTATTACTGCTTGAATTTGCCATAGTGCATGTGTTCATCAGAGAGAAAGAGAGTGAGAAAGTGAGAAATCAAGTTGTTAGGTCCAGGTCCGGAACCATGGTGGCCATGTGGGAGTCCATGCCACCTGCTGATCCCAGATCTCAAGTACTCTTTACACTAAATAAACTTACACCTTTCTAAAAATATTTTGCTAGAGGGCATGTGTAAGTCAGAGACAGAGAGAGGAAGAAAGTACTCCCCAGTAAGGCACGGTCATGCCACAATGCCTTCTCCATTTCTCTATCCTGTCAGCATTTGGGGCATACTTGCACACACACTGGCTTATTTTTCAAGCCTCTGGGTCAAGGATTTAAACCGCACAGTTGGCCATGTGGGATCTGGCCTGCTCAACCACCAAGCCACAGGTCCAGCCCAACCTTGTACTTCAATTCCATTTTTCCACAATCCTCTGAAGTGCCCTTATACCATGGCTGGTTTCAAGGAATTCTAGTTCTAGAATAATAGCGTAGAGGAAAAAGCACTACTGAGCAAATCTCTATACAGTCTATACTAACACCAGCCATCAAACATGCGGGACAGGGGAGGGTATTCAAAAAGTTTATGAAAAATATATATGATGAGGGAACCAGCAGTTAGCGTAATGGTTATGTTGCTGGACTCCCACGTAGTCGACCGCGGTTCGTGTCCCGGACCCGTTGGCTTAAAACTCACGCGTGCGTGCCCAAGATCCCGAGAGGAGAATGGAGGAGAAGGGATTGCAGCGTGACCATCCCCCCTGGGGGGTGATTTCTCGCTTTCTGTCTCTATGTCTCTCTCTGTCTGTCTGGCGAGCGCACGCGCCCTACAGTGAAAATCTCTCCAAAACAAAAAACAAAAATCAAACAAACAAACAAACAAACAAACAAAAAAACTATTCATGGGAAACCAGCAGATAGCATAATGGTTACATGCCTGGGCTCCCACATAGTTGAACACGGTTCAAGTCCTGGACCCGGCTCCTTAAAACATGCCAGGTGTGTGTGACTTCATGCCCAGAATCTCGACAATGGAGGAAAAGAGACTGAAGCATGGCCATCTCCTCTGGGAGTGGGGGGTGTGATTTCTTGCTTTCCATCTCTGTCTCACTCTGTTTCTCTGGAGAGAGAGATTTTTGCTCACTCTCAAAAACAAAACAAAACATAACAACTCATGGATTTGGGGGATAAAATATTTGCACCAAAATCAGCTTGTACTTTGCATCCTTCCACAAATTTTTTTTTTTTGGAGAGGTTTTTCGCTATAGGGCGTGTGCGCTCACCAGACAGACAGAGAGAGACAGAGAGACAGAAAGCGAGAAATCACCCCCCAGGGGGGTTGGCCACGCCGCAATCCCTTCTCCTCCATTCTCCTCTCGGGATCTTGGGCATGCACGCACACACGCCCAGCATGAGTTTTAAGCCACCAGGTCTGGGAAGCGAACCGCGGTCAACTATGTGGGAGTCCAGTGACATAGCCATTAGGCTAACTGCTGGTTCCCCTCTTCCACAAATTTTTTGAAGTCCCCTCACATATAACTTTGTACACATCAGGCATGAGGTTTACTATATATCAATCTTGAAGCAGCCTAATGAAGTAAAGACTGTTTAATGTACATTTTAAAGATGAAATAACTGAGGCACAGAAAATTCAGTGAGTCACCCAAGGTCACAAAGCCAATAAATGGCAGAGCCAGTACAATCTGAGGTCAAAGTCTGACTTATTAGCCACTGAACTATACTATCTCTAACTCACAGTCGTAAGTGATACAATTTATTAGGAATCCAGTGACACAGGGATACCAAGGAAGCACGGGGGGTGGGGGAGTGCTTTTAAAATATTTATTTATTTATTTATCTTTAATTCTGAAGTACTCTTGGGGAAAAAAAATCACAAATTGGCTAGTATTATTTTAATACTGAATTACACATTGAGTGGAAAAGTTACTATAATCTTTCAGGCGATTAGGGCTTTTCAGTATATTTATTTGGTTATGAAAAATTATATGAGCAAAATTATATTGAAGCCCACAGAAAAGTGAACATCTGGGGCCAGCTCGGTAACCTAGTGATAATGTGCTGCTCAAGCAAAGCTCAATCCATATGGAGGATCCTGGGTTCGGTTTCCAGGTTGATCTGTATGTGCCTGGTATATGTATCTACTCTCCTGGTTATCTGGGAAGGTTGGGGAGGATCATGGCATGAGATTCTATTGAGGGTACTCTCTCTCTCTCTCATAAAAGAAATTAAAAACAAGAGAACGTGAACATATGAATGCTAACCATGTATGTAAGCATTGGCAGGGTGGAAACTGGGAAAGAGCTCTAAGGTCTCCATGTTGAACAAAGTCAAGTTGGAGAAGGCACCATGTGTTCAGGAATGTTGGGAAGGAGGCTTGAGCACCATCCCCAGCTGAGACCTAACTTAAGGCTCCTGTGGAATGCTGGTGTCAGACTGTGAGGGAACACACACACCGTGGGAGCTTGGATAAGTGTCCCCTAGGTCAAGGGCTGCTGGTAGCAGTCTTCAAGAAGAAAAGTGATGTGAATAGATAGGCATTTCAGTATTTTGAAGTCTTGGGGGTAGACTGGAAGAGGATTAAACAGAAATCCTGGCAGGAAGATTAAACACTGGTGAAGAGGGAGGCTCTGGAAGTGAGAGGCATTTCTGAAGTTTAACATGGTAAGTTCTGCAGATCAGCTGGAAGTGGGTGAAGAGATAAAGGAAGAGTCAAAAACTATTTCAGGGCTCCCATAACACAGCTGTTAAGTGCTGTGTATCGGGAGCCAAATCCCACACAGCCAACCGCAGTTAAAATCCTGCCCCAGGAGCTTGAAAAACACAACAGAAGCTAGCCCTGTAGCCAAGCAGTTAAGCCAGATGTATTTCACAAGATTGACCATGCAGTTCAAGTCCCAGACCCAGCAACTGGAGAAACACACCTAGTATGTGTATACCTGTGCCCAAAATCCCCAAAGAAGAGGTAGGGAAGCAACTGCAGCATGTCCATGGCCCAAGAGAGATGCTTTCTCCTCTGACAAGCACAGGTGTCCTCTAGCAAACAAAACATGCAGGCACATGTATGTGTATGCCCAAAAACCTGACTAAAAGGACAAATGGAGGAAAGAGATTACTGAGTGACCACACCCCACTGGGAAGAGATGTCTTTCTCTCTCTCTCTCTCTCTCTCTTTCTCTCTCTCTCTCTCTCTCTCAAGTACCCTCTCTCACAAAAAAAAAAAAAAAAGCAGCAGCAAAGCTGGAAAGAAATAGAAAAAAACAGATGACTTTGAATAGTGATGTAGTAATGTCACCCATTTATTCACCATCCACCCATTCCACATACCAGGCTCCACACACATGCATGTGGGAGGCAGTACCCACATTGCATCTCGAAGGATGGTGAGATCTTCACTGACAACGTGGCAAAGGGCATTCCAGGCAAAGAGTGCCACATGTGGAAAATGATGAGAAACAGAACTCCAGTTAGTATTAATAAGAGGTTCTTGGGGTTTCAGCAAGAATAGTTTCATCAGAGTGATGCAAGCTGAACCACTCTGGAATGCATTGGAATGTGACTAAGAGTTGAATTAGTGGAGTCAGAGAGTGTAGACTATTATTTCAATAAGTTTTGCAGCCAAGAGAAGGGGGAAGATAGATAAATAACATAACACAGAAGAGTTTGTGTGTGTGTCTTTGTTTTCAAACATGGCACCCAAAATGCCAACAACTCAGGGTTTCAAAGTCTAACTAGAAACAGGTAGGAGTACTAGAAAGGCAAAGAAGATGTGCCTCACCTGCAACCTCAGTGATGAACAGATCAGCCAGGGAATAAAGCAAGAAAGAGTGGGGGTGGGGGACCAGCAGGTGGTGTGGTGGTTAAGGTGCTAGACACTCCCACATGGCCGACCATGGTTTGAGTCCCGGACCTGGTGGCTTGCTTTCTCACTTTCTCTCTCTCTCGCTCTCTCTCGCTCACTCTCTCTGGCTGATCAAATAAGAAAATAATAATAATAAATAAAGTTCAATAAAATCATTCTTTATAAAAAGAAAAAAAGAATGAAGGTGGAAGATGATTCCTAGGGAGCAGATCAGCTGGGCAAAGGGGTGGGGGGGGGAATGCCCTGCAGGAGATTCTGTTGTATGCAAATGGACTCTCTCTGAACATCAAGCAGTGTCAGATAGCCTCCTACCAGGAGGGTGAAAAGAAGATGGAAATTTATTATACACCATGAAAGGTTTATTAGATATCTAGTAAATCAAACACACACACACACACACACACACACACACACACACACACTTAAATAGAGCCTATGTATCATTAACACCACACTGGTAAATAGCATCAGGAAAGTTCTTTTGTTTTGCTTCTTGGCTAAAA